TCCTGATGCCTGTTCCAGAGCCTCACATATGATAGCTAAATCGATCGCCGTCCGGCGGTCTTTCGCACTGGCGTTACCCTCCTTGAGCATAGTATCGTATATAGATTTTGCGTCTACGATATGAATCTGGCCCTCTCGAGCGCCCAAACGGCACTCACGACGTAGCACTGTGGTAAATGGGCCTGAGCATCTGCGCTGATCTCGAATAGTCACATCTCGGAAAACCACATCACGATACAGTATCTGGAGGTACTCTACCTCAGCAATAGCTGCAGCCAGAGCTTGTGTCTCGCCAGCCAGAGTGGATGGTACCTTACGGCGCAACTTGGAGCTGCGCCATCCTAGAATTGACGCCTTGACGCAACGATTCTCGGCAATGCTCTTGTCGCAGGCCAATACCATCCAAGCGCCCTGTGTGGGATCCTCTGGGAGACCTCGTTCGTCGTCTAAACTAGGACCCCCTATGCCCCCCGCGTCTGAGAACGAGGCGAAGGACATATGTTCTGGATTGAGCTTCCACACGATGATACCACGGGAGGCGGTGGCCCTGAGATGCTTAACAAGCTTGTTAGCCAGGCTGACGTCTCCCGTGGTGGCTGCCTTGAGACGACTAGCGAGAATGCTTGCTGGTCCTGAAGCCTCTGGACGAGCTTCCCGTCCTATCCAGTTAAACTTAAAAACAAGAGAGCGTAGTGCCTTGAACTCGCTGTCCTCCAAAGGAGTGTCCCGGGCAGCAAGCCTACCTTTGGCAAGAGAGATGGGCCGAAGTTCTTCCAGAATGTATTTTTCCATGTCGATAGTGGCCCGGTTCGGGCCTATAGTCACCCGTCTGCCAGCGTAGTCAACTGGCCCTGCGTAACAGTCCCTGTATTTTCCGAAACGGAATCTTGATTCAAGGCGCTCTCGAAACCACTTCCGACTCTCTTCCGTGAGGCCCCCAATGAAGAAGTCATCGACCTCCAGCAAGATCATATTTAGCAACTCCCCTTTCGATCCATAACGACACCACCAGCACGGTTCCAGTAGTGTCCGAGAAAACCCTTGTTGTTCTAGAAATGAAACGACAGTTCGTCTCCATGCTACTGGGGCATCGTCGAGGCCGCACACGTTAACCTTGAGGCGTATGATGGAGCCTGCCGGAAGGTGGACGCCATCACACGGTTCAACGAAGATCTCTCCCTGGGACCTCACCATCTTGTCGGATTGGCAAAAAGCATTTTTCACGTCGGCGATGTCGTCCCTCATGCCAAGGTTCATGAGAACCTGCACGAACAAGGTGATGCTTGACGTTTGTGGTGTCGGGGAATACACCTGCAGAGATCCGGCGTCGGGATCCTTGTGACCGTGTACGCACCAACGGGACTTTGCTTCGGGTTCTTTGAAAGTACCTTCTACCGGCTTCCACCTCCGAACCATCCTGCTAGAGATGATCCGGTCCGGACATTCCTTCCGCGCGACTTCCGCCTCCTTCGGCCCCGGGACCTCCACAGCTCCCGACTCGACCATGGACTTCCACTCCTTATCGTCTGATGCCTGAAACTTGGCCCGTTCGGCCGGAGTGAGGTTTTTAAACGAGACCTCTCCTCCTCTACTGGCAGCATAGGTCTCTCCAAGCTGCTCCCTGGTCCTGGCCTGGAGACCAGACCCGGCCTCGCCAGCCGGTACCAAAAAGAAATCCTCCTCCTCCTGCTCCTCTCTCCTCTCTGGCTCTCTGGGTGGAGACCTCGAACGTTCTGGTCGACGTCCTGCTTCCAGAGCCTTGACTATCTCACTCACACTTCGGCGTGGCTCGGTGCCGCCCTGAATCTCCTGAACTCTGGCGGCGGAGGAGGAGGAGGAGGAAGGATCAACGGGACGAGGAGTGGATGGTTCCGAGAGGCCAGGGGGCGGCTCGATCCTCACCCTTTTGTCGGGGGGCTCGCTGGCAGCTCTGCCGCTGCGAGATCTTAAAATGCAAGCGGGAACGTCCTGGGGCTGGGTGAGTCTTCTCGGTCTCGGAACCTGGGTGACGGGCCCTCGCGCGTGTTCCTGAGGCGATTCCAGCCGTGACTCCGGGTGATCTCTCTCAGGATCCTCGATTTCTCGCCCCTCGTCAAGGGGGATGTCGGGAGACTCAGAGGGAGCGAGAACAGGGGTGTGGGTAGGTTCAGCCTCTTCACTCCTCACTTCATGCCCAGGTGCGCTGCCTCCGTGGGGAGACGATCTGCCCGAGCTTTCCTCGGGCCCTCCGGTTGACGGGACCCTCGTCACCTCTGATCCCGCCTGCGCCTCCATGGATCCATTCTCTGACGGAGCCTCTCTGGGGCTGCGTCGGAGGATCACTCCGGGAGTCGGAGGGAGACCGGAAGTATCGGGCGTTCCGTCGGTACGTCGCGTCTCTGGAGCAGGGACTTCCTCTCGAACGGAAGGACATGGTGCCCCGGGGAGCTGAGGGCCCGAATCCAACTCTCTCCGAATGGCATCGTCCCAAGCGTCTTCGGGAGGAGGTCCTTCTCTCTGGACATCGACGGCCGTGGCCCTTCGAGTGTGGGCCTGACGCATCAGTTCTTGCCACTGCGGGGATTGGGCAAGCTGTATACCGTACTCTTCTTCTGGGCTGGCGAGGCGGATCTGTTCCGCCGAGCATTTCCACAGCCGGGCCCGGACGGCAACCCACACGGCTCCGCCCTCGGCCAGGACCACCACCCCAGGACCACACCAGCCGTCTCGACGTCTCCCGAGACTGTGGGCCCGGGACGTGGCTCTCGCCATGTGGCGCCAAACGTACACCCACTGGCCAGGTGTGTAGCTCCTGGGGTTGGGGTTCCTGGCGCGGGAAGCCTTGCTGATCTTTTCTCTGGCCGTGGCTTCCATAGCGAGCCTTCTGGCCGCCGCTCTGATTTCCTGGGCACGGCAGAACTCAGCGCCAGCTTCGTCCTGCTCTGCTGGATTGCGAGTCAGGCCCTGCCAGCCCGGGAGACCAGAAGCGTCGTCAGAGAGCAACTCGTGTGGGAGTCTGGGATTTTCCACAGACCAACTGCAACGGGGAGAAGCCCCCTCTGTGCCAAAATCTGTTCTTGTGAGCAGTCAGCTCGTACACGAGGGTATCCAGCTCCTCCAACGACACCGGGGCCCCAGGACCCGAGTCAATTTCCTGGCGCGCCCGTTCTTTTATCCATCCCCCGTGGCGCTCGACTCTCCCGTTTTGCCACGGAGAGTCAGCGTCACACACATGGTGCTTGACCCCCCAGTGTTCCAGTCCTCTGGCGAAACGACCCCCAAACTCGGAGCCTCCATCCGAGATGAGAAGGTGGGGAGCCCCGAGGGGTCTAATCCAGGACTGCACAAACCCCGACCACACCGTGGCCGCTCTGGCGTCCGCCACGCGGGTGCAGACCTGAAGGTTCGACCCGTGGTCGACAACATTAAGAAAAGGAACCGCTTGGCCCAGGAACTCCAGATAAAAGAGATCCACACCAACTATGTGGTTGAAACGAAAGGTGCGAGGCAGCGCGACCCGTCGGTGCGTGCCCTGCTTGCTCCTCTCTTCACACTCGGAACACTGAAACTTATGGCGGACCCACCGGATTAAATGAGCTTTGACTCCCCCAGCCCTGAGCACCCGACAAAATTTGCGTGAGTCGGGATGCCCCATGTTCACATGAATCTTATACAGGAGTCTCTTTTCATCCTCGTTGGGTTCTTCGTCTGGGATCTCGGCACTCTTGGAGTTTTGCTGGGGCCTGGTCTCGGGTTCGTCACCATCGCTCGCTTCACTTCCTCCGACTTCCTCTTCCTCAGGGATGGTTCCCAGACCTTCTCCTGCCATTATCGTAGGAAAGCTTTCGTCAACCAGCTGGGCCCACGTAGGCCTGACCTTTTCGTCAGACCCGCTCCAGTGCTCAACAATGGCTCCGCGGCAGTCCTCACAAATTTACTTGAGTAAATGGCAGCCCTGGAGGTCTGACGGCTTCCCTCAAGAATGGCGTGTCTATGGCCCCCTGTGCACAGCCTCCCGCCCAGCAAAGACAATATCCTAGGATGGTTAGTCAGCAGACCGGTGGGCTTCTTGTTGAGGCCACGGTTGTCCACTCGTAGCTCGAAAGCGCACATATCTACCCTTAGTCGTCTGACAGAGGGGAGAGAGGATATCAGCTGGACGACCTCAGTGTGCCACGAGCTGGCGTACAGGGGATGTTCAAACACAAAGAACCTGCCTCTCGAGTGTTGATATTTAGCAATTTCCATGCACAACGTGAGATCTCTGAGACCCTCGAGGACTTGCTGGTGCCACCTTTGGGGATCGCGGCGATCTCGATTGATCCTGTTGATCGCGGAAAAGACCTTGCACTCAGAGCTAAGCCATATCGTTTCGGGATCGTTCTTCTTGATCTCCCTCCAGAGGTGCCGAACGTGTTCTTTGATCCCCGAGTCCCATCCCATCAGCCTGTCGAAACTCGCACTCGAACCCAGACGTCCCCCTCTCTTCTCCACCTCGGGGGCTATACGAGGGGGAGAGAAAACCTCCATGAACGAGGTCTTGGCCTTGGTGGCCTGCCTCGCGCTGAACGCTCCCGAGGACTGGCACCCGTGGGTCTCGAGTTGCCTGTCGAGAGCTCTCCGAACCTTGGGTCCCCAGGCCGACTCGTGATCGTCGTTAAATTGATCACCGTCAATCCAACTCTCGAGGAGGCCGTCCTCCGTGGTTTTCGAGCCCCGTCCAGCCGTGGCGTAGGCCCCGTTCGACTCGGCCCGAAAGACTGGGAAACCTACAGGGAAGCTCCCGAGGCCCCCTTGGTGTTCTGGAGGGCCTTCCTCTCTTTTTTTTCTTTGGCAAGAGCCGGCAGTAAAAGAGCCGGCGACGCTCATGCGTCGTGACTGGGAATCCCTCGCCCTGTGGCGAGAGTAGCAATGGCAAGGGGACTGATCTACACCAAGTCCCACGTGCCGACCGATGTGGTAGTGGAGGAGGTCGTGTCCTCCTCCTCTGAGCCCTCTGGGATCGAACAGATCTCCGTCGCCTGAGCTGGGAACGGCTTGGCAGGCGGCATCTTGGCCGGCGGCTGCGCTAGAGGCGCCGTCCAGGCTGGTGCCGTGGGAGTCCACGGATCTCCACTCTGCCAGCCGCTCCCGCTGCTGGAGCTGGCCATTGCGTGCTGATTCATCGCATGCGCCATTGCGGTGACAGAAGATGCTACCTGCACTAAAAGATTCAGCATGTGGTCGACTGCCTGATGCATCGACGTTGTCTCGAGCTGCATCGCGGTCAACTGATCGGCAATCGAGTCGATGGATTCCCCGAAATTCTCGAAGACGCCTAGCATGCGTTGGACGTGGACCACCGACTGGTACACCTGCTTGAGTCCCTCCTCCAGCTGGCTGTTGCTGCCGATCTGATTGGATGCCACCAGCTGCTGCATCTGCTCGACAACCGGCTGGATGTTGGCCAGTAGCTGCAGTCCCTCGGGTAGATTCTGAAGATGGTGGGAGAGAGACGTCATCATCGCCGAGATCCCGTTCACGGCGTTGAGGGTCGCCGCGCCGTCGACGAAACCCTCTTTCTCCTGAAGCATCTGGATGGTCTTCTCCGCCGCGGCAGCGGCCCGACGGGCTGCCTGAGCCGCCGACTCGGGCCGCTCGGCTGGAGCACCGCCCTCCTGCTCCCGAGGCGTCCACTCCAGGCGGTAGCCGCGCAGCCCGCACTTGAAACCTCGCCCGTGCTGATTTCCGTATGGCTGCCTCCGGTCTGCGGGATGGTCGCACTGAGGAGGCGGCTTGTAGGGAACCTTCGATGCCTTCGGCATGGGCTTCTGTATCTGCGGATGCTGCTGAGGCCAGCTCGGCCGTCCGCAACCTCCTGAACTCGCGGCGGCTGCCCCTGGCGCTGCTGTGACTGCGCCCGAGCTGCTGCCGCTGCTGGTGCCGACCCAGTGGTTCGAGACTGCGGCTGCTCCCGTCTCCGGCTGATACGCTCCCGTCTCGTTCTCCATCCCGTTGGTCAGCTCCTCGTATTCTTGCTGGACCCGACGAATCTGCTCTCGGAGCTGGCGGGCCCGTTCCTCCTTTGACGGGAGGTCGGGTGGAGCTTTCTTTGGTCCTCCGTGGACCACGCCCGCGGTGCTGAGAAACATCAGCGTCACCAGGACTAGAGGCATTGTCCTGTCTCTGATCTTGACTGGAAAGAGAACCGATACTCTCGGGGTGGTCGATGCCGGAAAGCTTCGAGCCGAGAAAGGCTACGGAGGCAAGAGCCGTGACCCATTGAGGAATACGGCTTCTATGGAGTGACATCCTGTTTCTCGACAGTGTCCGAGTTATGGCCTCAGCCTTGACGAGCTCCCTCCGGATCACCTTAGTGTGACGGAACCCCGCTAAGCCCCGATTTGGTTCTGCTAGGCCCTGCTGAGCCCGGGACTGACCCTGGCACTGCTCTGTCCTCGAGAGGTCCTCGCAACTGCTCTCGAACTCCGTCGAGTATATCCTTAAGTGGCCTGTGAAGCCGAGGACGTTCTCCGTGTCGGCTATCCCTGTGTACTCCTCGCAAGCGTCCCCCTGGAGGTCTTCGGGGTCCTCGTGATCTGTGGTCTGCTGGGCCTCTGGGTCCTTGAGGTGGGCCTTGAAATCGGAGTTCCAGGGGTCCCTTCTATGGGACCGGGTTCTTCTTAACGCGATACCCAGACCAAGGGCGCATGAGATGATGAGATAGATGTAGTGCCCCACGACACCCGTGTCTGACATGCGCTGCACCGGGCCGCCAGAATATTCGAACGAATTGGCTGCGAGGAACGGCCACCTCTGAAGCGCTCCGGCTGGCACAGAGGCTCCTGGCCGAAGGGTCCTCACGATGTCGGCCATTCTATGACCTGATCCTAGCTTCGTGAGCTTGGTCGTCTCTCCGAGCCTACTGGACGCCAGCGTATTCTCGGGTAGGTCCAGAACGCAGCCCAAGAAGTCTAGAAGATTGACGCTGATGATGTGGGGGGCATCATCGGCTAGCACTGCTGTCTCGATTATTCCGAGAACTCCGAAAAGACAGAGTGGAAAGAGAATGCTGGCTACTACCTTGGCCGGCCCACCAACGCCGTGGGCGGCGACATGTCGTCTATGCTCGGCCGGAACTTCAACATATCTGAGACCGTGCTCTGCTAGTGCTTGTGATTCTCGATTCAGAGCCTGGGCGCCGACGAGATCACTCCCTGCCCCAGGGTCTACCAGCCCTTGGCACGGAAGCGATACCAGGAAGGTATCATCCTCCTTGATCTCCCGATGAACGGTCCTCCAGATCTCCATCGCCTCCGGACTGAGCACCTTGTCGGTCGATGCCATGCCGTTGAATGCACATGCAGCCATGCGTCGGTCTGCTCCGGCGTTCTTCGGGCACTCCCGACTCCAGTGGCCCTTTTGGTTGCACGTCCTACAGCGGGTCACCTTCATCTTCTGCTCCAGGGTGAGCGTGGGTCTGCGCCTGAACCGATCTCCTCGACGGCCGTCGCCTCGACCTGCACCCTTGGGCGGTGGAGACGGGCGCTCCACCTTGGGTTTGTCGGTAGCTCCTCGTGGTCCGGCTGCTGGGCGACGTCCTCCGTAGTACTCTCGGTCGCGCTTGGCAGCGCGCTTGAGATCCTTGTTCTCCTTCCAGGAGCGCCCCGCCGGGCGGGCCGCAAAAGCCTCGAGGGCGGCATCCAACTGATCCTCGTAGAGGTCGAGATCCTCGAGCTCCTCGAGAAGGACAGCTTCGTCCTCGAAGTCGTCGTCAACCTCCTCCTGGTCCGTGGAGCCGTCGCCTGTCTCCTCACCACCTTCGAACCTACCAGCGGGGAACGAGGGAGTGGAGGAGGGAGGCTGAGAGGCTGCTTTGGCACGCTCGTCGTCGCCGGGCTCTTCGGCCGCGGGACCTGCTAACAGTGTGCCTGTAGAACGGCCTGGAAGAAGCCTCTCAGAACTGGTTGCGTCCATCTGCCTGAGGGCCCAGGACACGCTGTCGTAGTCCAGGCGTCCGTGAGTCAGGGTTCTGAAATTTTGCTGACCCTGAGCTGACAATCCGGCGCCTTCCTCTAGAAGCAATCCCTTCAACTTTGGGCTAAACCACATGTCGTGCCCCTCTGCCTCGGTCAGCTGCGCCTCACGGCGGATCACATACTGAACCAGCGTCTCTCGAGGCTCACGTGCTGCTTCATATAGAGCTCGGCGCCCGGCACGTCGTAGGTCGTCGCCCTCGCGCTCTCCGGCCATGGTGTCCATGCGGCGCAGGATGACCTCCAGCCACGAGGCGCTGTTGAGCGTACTCTCGGGTATATCCTCGAACTTGGCCTGGAGGTTCCAGTCGAAGAGCTTGAACAATTTTTCAGCCCTGCGCCATATCGCTACGTCGGTATTCTGATTCCATCTGCGGATAGCACGGCTCCACTGTCGATAGTGTCCGAAACCAGGCCAAGGCGGCGGATCAGAGTAGTCGCCTTTGCCGCCACTGGCGGCCCATCCCCACCAGTCGCCGGCACTGGTGCCAAAATGGCCCCTGCTGCTGCCGGTCCAGTGCTCCCAGGCCTGGTTCGTGCTGTCGCCCTGATCGCCCCCCTGCTGCCGTTCAGCGCCTCCCCAGCGCCAGCCGGCAGCGTCGGACCAGTTCCACGGGTCCTCCTGGCGATCTCCCTTGGCACTGCTGTCGGCCCAGCCGTGCAACCAGGGATCTTCTGCTGCTGTCGTGGCCGCGGCCACCGGCGTCTGAGACGATGATGCTGCTCCCATGGTCTCGCGGACTACTCCCACGATCATCTCTTTCAGCTGCGCCGGTGTGACCGCTGCCAGCGTGTCCCCTGCGGCTGGGCTCGCTGGGGCCTCGGCTGGGGACTCTTTCTCCTTGCCGTCTCGCGTCGTCATCCGTGGATCTCCACGCCAGTCGGACCTGGAAGCGAGGTCCTCGCTCCGGGCGCTCGAGAGCTTCCTGGACAGCGCCTCCTCAGCGCCGCGCCGGAGCTCCCATGGGCCCGAAGCGGGGTCACCCCGCTCCGCTACCAACTGTGGCAGCAGATCGCCCCTGGGATGTTTTTCCCTTGAGCCAGAACGCGAAACGGTCGGACTCTCCAAACGCTGAACCTAGGGATTAAAATCTGGATGGCATTCACAAGGAGCGGGGTCACCCTTCCGCAGCCTGACTGCGATGTCCTGCAGCGCGTGAGCCATGGCATGGAGATATCGGGGTTCGCTGCCTGCTGCTGGGTGTGGGGCCCGACGAGGTCCTCCGATGGGGCGCCAGACATATCGGGTGCCGTCCGCCCTACCGAAGTCTCCCGTCGGGTTCTGCAGCTGGTAAATGTGCACCAGGTCCTGCTCCGCGTAGGTGACGAGAGTAGCGTAGAGGGAGTCGAGGCGGCACCGAGCAGTAGCAACATCCGCGGGGATCCTCTTGGCACCGTCCTGCTCGATGATGCCCGGTTGGTCCCTTGGCGGCGGCGGACCCGTCAACGGGTGCGCGCCAGCTGCCGCATGGGGGGGGGGGCCCTCGGGAAAGGCTTGGGCGCGCTGGCCACCAGCTGCATCAGCCTGCGAGGGTGTGCGCCCATGTCCATCCGAACTGGGCGATGAGGCCGGGCTGGCCAATCTGCGAGGACACGAGGCCGACGGCAGGCTGCCTGCAAACCACGAGAAATGATCCAATAACCAACCATGAAATAGATGCCAGCTGCAGAACGACACGTGCCTTCTCCAAGACAAGTCATAGAAACTCCAGGCAGTAGACTGGACAATACTGATCGTCGAAAGTCCGAAGGGGAAGTGTTCCAGTCACCGCCCAAGATGAACGGCAGTCCGAGAAAACGCAACGACTCCGCCAGAATGTAGTCTCTCTGAAGGTTGGAAGCAACAGATTCGCTCGCAGACTCCATGTACACAGCACCTAGCAGAAAGCCCCCAGGCAGTCCCAGGTCGACGTGCACGATGATAGACCACGATGGCACCACCTCGGATGCGCGGTCCCCCCCCGCCCCCCCCAAGGCCCACTGAGCAACGTAGTGGGCGCGTGAGACCTCGCAGAGATAGCGACGCCCGCACTGGGCATTCCCGAGGGTAGTCGGCGGCATGCAGAGATGTAAGTTTTCCATCCCCTCGCGACGGCCCAGCAGCGGGCCTTCTCCAGTTGCTCGCCATCCAGTCGGAGCTCCCGCGCCAGGACCGCCTTGGCACCCCCTGCGCCCTCGGCCAAAAACGCTTGACACGTAGCCCAGCAACTGCCGTTGAAGGTGACCAGCCCGAGGTCCTTCCGTTTGGAGCCCCGCCGGCCTCTATGTCTGGCTGCGCTCCCACGCCTGGGCTGCATCTGGCTCGACCGCCATCGCCTCGGCGCGAAATGTCCCGCCCGCCTGCGGCTCTGCCGCTGGCTGCTGTGGCGGCGGGCGCGCGGGCGGCGGCTGCTGACCACGAGCAGAGGCGGCAGACGGCGAGGCCCCCCCAGATACCCAGTGCACGC